AACTCTAATGTGGAGTGCGACTTGGCCAAAAGAAGTAAGACAGCTTGCTGAAGATTTTCTGAAAGACTATATTCATATAAACATTGGTGCCCTTGAACTGAGTGCAAACCACAACATTCTTCAGATTGTGGATGTGTGTCATGATGTAGAAAAGGATGAAAAGTAAGTTTTAATTAACTCTGCTATGTTTGCTAACAAGTTCGCTGTAAAATTGAGAGATTATTGATGTTGTTAGGTTATTTCAGTTGGTGTGATCTACTTCATTTAGTGTTAGCCTATTAATCCTTTTGAAAATCTCTTGAATCCTTCAAATAATTGACTGTCATCATTTATAGCATTCCTATGGAAGAAATTCTTGTGTCCCCTCGTTGACTTAAGGACCAAGGGTCCAACTACTTGTTAACTGCTTGGGTTAGCAGGTGTTTCTTCTTTGACTTCCAGCCATGTAAATTAAACCTAATGTTTTGCTGACCGTAAATGTGTGGCCATAGCGATGGTCTTTTAAAACTCAGGATTTTCCAGGGGAGGGTAAATCAAAAAAAAAAAAAAAAAAGAATTTTCCTTTTTCTGTTTTACTAGACTAATTCGTCTAATGGAAGAGATCATGAGTGAGAAGGAGAATAAAACCATTGTTTTTGTTGAGACCAAAAGAAGATGTGATGAGCTTACCAGAAAAATGAGGAGAGATGGGTATGTGTGGGCTCCTGCATCGAAGCAGATTTATTAGAACTGAGCTTAAGAAAGGGCAAAGTTGGATCAGGAACAGTTGATTTAAGTTTCATATCTGATAGTGTAGGTAAAACGATGTATGTTACTTGTTGGTGAAATTAAAGAGATCTGTGAATAAAGTGATTAAGCAGTTGAGTCTTGAGGTTTTCAATGTGAGTTTAATAATGCAACTTGTCTTTTGACTTAGGTGGCCTGCCATGGGTATCCATGGTGACAAGAGTCAACAAGAGCGTGACTGGGTTCTAAATGGTAAATATTTCAAATGCAGCTTTTCCCCTTCCTTAATCTAGCTAGAATTCTGCTCAGATAATTGATCATCTGTATGCCTTCCTTTTTGTAGAATTCAAACATGGAAAAGCTCCTATTCTGATTGCTACAGATGTGGCCTCCAGAGGGCTAGGTTAGTACAAACTCGCATTCATGGCTTGGTTTCCCAGAAGATCTCCATTTAACTTTTTTAAAGAAAGTTTATTGCTTTCTTTAACCTTTGCATTTTTTCTAAGTTTTTTTTCACATAAAGGTGCAGTCTTTGTGGCAAGGCCTAGGCATGACAATCGGAGGACTCGAGGGGGATGGAGGACTAGTGATCGGCTGGCTGCTTCCAGTCGATTAGAGAGGTGAAAAGCTGAACGTGTGCCAGTAATCTTCAAAAGGCAGAACATACCACCTCTGCCCCGTAAACTGTTCTCTCCGAGGGAAAATAAGGAAGTTATCCTCACAGTTCACTGCCGTGGTATTTCTTCTGTCCCATGCTTTGCATGACTGCCATGGTACAGCATTGTTTCAAACTGTTCACTGTGATCTGTGGGTCTTTGAGTTTCAGTGAGTTTGCTGAAATGTCGAAGAAATATTTCCAAACTTCAATGTTCAATGAAATTTTTGTTCAAGTTTGAAATGGAGAGAGCAGCTTTAAAAGGTACTAAAGCCTTTTACAAATTGGTGAGTACTGGCACATGAGATGTAGAGCAGGAGCAACTTCTCACACTTAAGTCAGTGGGAAAAGAAAGTGCTTTGAAAGTTCCTCCCTCACCTACACAGTAGTCGTCATGTCGAGACCTGCCAGAGAGAGACACATTCTCAAGTGAATCCTGGCTTCTTCGAAGCGCTTGCCTAGACGAGACACAGTGCATAAAAACAACTTTTGGGGGACAGGTATGTTTTCTTGCAGCTGCGGTTGTAAGGTCTTGGCAAGACAAGCAGTGTGGCCAGAGAATTTTGAACTTCTGATAAATGTGTAATGCAAAGGACCTTGTACATTTTTTTGTTTCAAGGTCCTCAAAATGAGCACATGAAGAGGTTGCTGTGAAACTTTAAGTGGCCCTACTGCGCAGAAGCATTCAGATGTCACTTGATGATCTGTAAGGGAACTTGCTGATTTGGGAATGTGCTAGGGAATACACATTCCTTTTGACAGGGTCTGTCATTGGGTGGGTGAAGACTTAACACAGATGACATGTGCTTTTTTTTCTTTTTTCAATCTCAAATGGTATTCCTACAGGGAATGGATAACCATTTTAACTGTATTTTTTGCAGCCCGTACCTTCTTGGGAATACAATTGTCTAACTTTTTATTTTTGGTCTGGCTGTTGTGGTGTGCAAAACTCCGTACATTGCTATTTTGCCACACTGCAACACCTTACAGATGTGGAAGATGTGAAATTTGTCATCAATTATGACTACCCTAACTCCTCAGAGGATTATATTCATCGAATTGGAAGAACTGCTCGCAGTACCAAAACAGGCACAGCATACACTTTCTTTACACCTAATAACATAAAGCAAGTGAGCGACCTTATCTCTGTGCTTCGTGAAGCTAATCAAGCAATTAATCCCAAGTTGCTTCAGTTGGTCGAAGACAGAGGTTCAGGTAAGGATGACTGATAGGAAATGTTGGTAGTTATGAGTCACATCATTGTCTACAAATCCATTTAAGTGGTATTGGAGGGTGAGTAAAACCTTGAATGTGAAAACTTGTAAAACGCATTTCAAACCTACAATGAATAGATAACAATTCTTTCTGTCCGCAGTTACTTGTGTCATAGACATAATTGATCAATTTGCAATTGTTTTCTTGACAGGTCGTTCCAGGGGTAGAGGAGGCATGAAGGATGACCGTCGAGACAGATACTCTGCGGGCAAAAGGGGTGGATTTAATACCTTTAGAGACAGGGAAAATTATGACAGAGGTTACTCTAGCCTGCTTAAAAGAGATTTTGGGGCAAAAACTCAGAATGGTGTTTACAGTGCTGCAAATTACACCAATGGGAGCTTTGGAAGTAATTTTGTGTCTGCTGGTATACAGACCAGTTTTAGGACTGGTAATCCAACAGGGACTTACCAGAATGGTTATGATAGCACTCAGCAATACGGAAGTAATGTTCCAAATATGCACAATGGTATGAACCAACAGGCATATGCATATCCTGCTACTGCAGCTGCACCTATGATTGGTTATCCAATGCCAACAGGATATTCTCAATAAGACTTTAGAAGCATATGTAAATGTCTGTTTTTCATAATTGCTCTTTATATTGTGTGTTATCAGACAAGATGATAGTTATTTAAGAAACATGGGAATTGCAGAAATGACTGCAGTGCAGCAGTAATTATGGTGCACTTTTTCGCTATTTAAGTTGGATATTTCTCTACATTCCTGAAACAATTTTTAGGTTTTTTTTGTACTAGAAAATGCAGGCAGTGTTTTCACAAAAGTAATGTACAGTGATTTGAAATACAATAAATGAAGGCAATGCATGGCCTTCCAATAAAAAATATTTGAAGACTGAATTAAGTGGAAATTGTACTTTATTTTACATATGTCATGTAAACTTTGCTTAGATGATTTTTTTAAATCATGAAAACAAATGACTGCTCCTTTTTATTTAATTTGGGAGGCGGTGGGGAATCAGAAGGCCCTTCTTTACAATGAGCTATTCATATTGCTGGAGTCAAAATGAATTAATTTAGGTGAATTTTTAATTATGGATAAATTGGATAAAAGCTTTGTTAGCTCCCAACGTCAGGGGAGTCATTTAATATTCTGTTTCCTTATTTGCTAGTATGGTTAAATGAGAAAATAGTAAAATAGATACAAAGTCATCTGTATAATGTGAGAACGTGGATGACTTTGTTTTGCAGATTTATAATTTAAAAAACTCCAAATAACTGGCGTTTTCACGAGATTTATATTCATGCTCTTGGCTATACCGTGAATTACTGAAATGTTGAATGAACCTGGGAAAGACGTTAGTCCTTTAAGATGACCAAGAGCTAAGCCTGAGTCTCCTTGATTGAATTTGCACAATGTCCTTAGTGCAGGTTGCTTGTAGATTCTCGTTTTCACAGGCTCCCTGGGGCTCTTTTCACTTTAGTCACACTGGGAGTCATGAATGTCTTTCCAATAATTCAGGGAATTCTAGAGATCTTCAAACTGTAAGGTCTATTCATACTCTAACACTAGGAAAAAACCTCATTAAAATTAATGGCTAATCAGGAGGCAACATAACCAAAAGCACAGTGAATACAAGTTTTCATGTTAGATTCAACATGGGTTTATTGCTAGACCCAGGGGATAGCTTTAGATTTAACTTTGGCTCACCAACCTAACTTTCTGATCATTTATTTCAGTGATAGCTAGAAATGGGTCTGAATGTTTTCCCAGAGTCTGAGATATGTGTCTTGCCGGAAGAGAGGTCTCGAGGAGACTTCATTTAAATTCTGATTATTGGACTGAGGCTTTAATTGTTAATGCCTTATGTCAAATGTAAAGTTAGATTTTGCTAGGTCTGGGATGGGGAGTGATATTTCTAGAACTTAAGACATTGAAAACTAATTCAGCCTCTAGTAACCTGGATGGTTTTCAGTGGCATGGTTAGTCAAATTCATGGTTTTAAACTTAGAAGCAGCTTTTGTGGGAGGCGGGTAGGTTGGAGCATTTATTACATATTTTACTGTTTAATGTCTAACCGTGGGCCTTTTAATTTGTAAACACTGAAATGATTTGTGGGACTGTGGAAAACATTTACCTATTTACTTTTGAAGTTTTAAAAGACAGTCCACTTTTTAGCATGTGTGTTGTGTCCAGCCTGTGGTTGTCTTAATAAATGTGATTTTTCTCCCCATTCTCTCTTTTATTTATTTGCGTATAGGCCTCTTACCTGGTGTGAGTTCCTGAAAGTGGAAAACACCTGGCAGTAGTACCCAGCTTTGCAGCTAATCACTATATTTGCCTTCCAGCAATACTGTTTCACTTTCTAGCTTGCCTCTTTTTAAACCCTGTACACACTTGTAAAGAACTGTTTCCCGAACCTGGTACGGCACTTTACTAATGATAAAAAATACTTTACTGCTAAGCTATATTAACTCAACTGCTAAGCTGTTACCCACTCTTAATCAAATGGTAGTTTGGTAGTCTAGTGAAATATCTTTAAAGGTTTCTGTAAGTGAAACTGGTATAAGAAATCATGGGCTTTGGAATCAAATTTCTTCCTTAGTCCGGGTATACAACCTTTCCACTTTCTGGGCAGTTCTTCCCTATTTAAGTAGAAATTGTAAAGGCAGAAACCTGTGATGTAATCATGGGTCTTTTAAAAAAAAAGTCACAAGTCTCATTGTTTTGATGATCCTGTAGAAGGGGGCCCTGGAAGAAATCGCAGATATGTTAATGGTTTTCTGTGCATCACCAAGAGGGCTTAAGACGTGTCTGTGCCCATTGGTTTATTTCTCGTGCATTTCCAGGTGAGGCAGATGCTGCCTGGGGACTGCCTTTGTCAAGCCACTGCAATAAAGTGACTACCACTACCCCTGTCCCAAAGCCCCACCGCAGCCTGGGTGCTTAAGCAAGACAACGGCTCTGGGGTTAGGCACAGGCCTCCAGGGGGCGGCATTTGCTTAAGAGTCAAGGCCTGGGCTTGTAAACCACAGTGGAGGACTAAAACTCTTTTAAGAAATGCCAAATTTGATGTTGCCCAAATCACCATTTGTATATGCTTCAAGGTGAAGTGCTTTCAGATCGAGATGTATGTATAGATGGTCTAGATAACACGGAAATATTTTAATTTTCTGGATTGCCAAACTGGGGACGGAAGGTGAAGCTGACCTAAGTGGCTATGGCAGTCATAAATAGGTGGGGATAACCATTATTGGTGCTTACGAGGACAGAAATACTAGCAATTGGGAGTATGAGGAGAGAGGCTCGAGGAGAACGGCAAATTAAAGAACCATCCGGACCGGCGTCCGCCATGGTGGGCGGGGGATGGCCGCGGCCGGAACGTAGTGATGCGCTTCCGGGGTGGGGCCTGCTGCCTGCGAGCACGCTCTTCGTCGTCGCGCCTGCGCTCTGACCTCCCTGGGTTCTGTTAACGGCGGTGGCGGCCTATTGGGAGCCGCTGGCTGATGGGAGAGAGTGCTATTTAACTTCTAAGGGAGATGCGCTCTCTTGTATCCGTCAGGGCCTGTCATAAGGTCTGCAGGTGCCTGTTGTCTGGGTTTGGGGGTCGAGTAGATGCTGGGCAGCCGGAGCTGTTGACGGAAAGGAGTAGCCCCCACGGCGGGCACCCGAGGTCGCACGCGGAGCTCCAGGGGAACGGCGAGCACCCAGAAGCCCCCGAATCTGGAGAGGGAGGCGAGGCACTGTTAGAGATCTGTCAGAGAAGGCATTTCCTAAGTGGAAGCAGGCAGCAGCATAGCCGGGATTCTCTTCTGAGCGGGTGCCACCCCGGCTTTGGACCCTTGGGCGTAGAGTTGCGGAAGAACCTGGCCGCAGAATGGTGGACCTCGGTGGTGGTGTTCAGGGAGCAGGTCTTCCCGGTGGACGCCCTCCACCACGAACCAGGCCCTTCGCTGCCCGGGGACAGTGGCTTCAGGTTAGTGTCTGCAGAAACTCTACGCGAAATCTTGCAAGACAAAGAGCTGAGTAAGGAACAGCTAGTAGCATTTCTTGAGAACGTAATAAAAACTTCTGGGAAACTACGGCAGAACCTTCTTCACGGTATGCTTCACGATTTCATTCAAAACAAGTGTCGGGTGGAAAAGCGAGGCATTCTTGCTGGGTCTTGGGGATTGCAGCTGATCCTTTATTCCCATGCAAAGGAAGTTAGCTAGTTCTCCTGTTTTTGAAGTAGTCGAGTAGATTAACAGTGCTCTCCCTTGGAGAAAACTGGTCCTCAAAGAATCTGTCCGAAGGATCTGGGAAGTCTCAATTTCACGGGGCAACTTTTGAACACAGTGCTGTCATTTACTGCCATGTAGTATGAGTGCATAAGGAACTACAAAGACATTTTGAACTTTTCTTAGATTTATTCTAAGTAGAAATGTTGGAGTTATAATTCTGAAACCATTTCATGTATGTTATAGAATAAATCAAGGCCGGGCGCGGTGGCTCACGCCTGTATTCCCTGCACTTTGGGAAGCTTAGGCGGACAGATCACCTGAGATCAGGAGTTAGAGACCAGTCTTGGCCCACATGGTGAAACCCCGTCTCTACTAAAAATACAGAAATTAGCCGGGTGTGATGGTGAGCGCCTGTAATCCTCAGCTACTTGGTAGGCTGAGGCAGGAGATTCACTTGAACCCGACAGGGGGACGTTGCAGTGAGGTGAGATCCCGCCACTGCACTCCAGCCTGGGCGACAAGAGCAAAACTCCGTCTCAGAAAAAAAAAAAAAAGAAAGAAAATGGGGTTAGTGTTATTAGGAACCAAGATTTTCATTGTAAAAGAAGAGGTAATAAATATAAAAGAAGGTATGTGTAAACTAACGTTAAATATGAATTGGTAAGTTAAAATTGAATATCGGTATAAACTCGTGTTTTTGTTTTTGAAACAGGGTCTCACTGTCACCCAGACTTGAGTGCAGTGGTGTTATCATGGCTTACTGCAGCCTCTACCCCCCGGGCTCAAGTGAACCTCCCACCTTAGCCTCCCAGGTAGCTGGCACTACAGGCGCATGCCACCACGCCCGGCTAATTTTTGTATGTTTTGTAGAGATGAGGTTTTGCCATGTTGTTCAGGCTGGTCTTGAACTCCTGGGCTCAAGCAATCCACCCGTCTTGGCCTCCCAAAGCGCTGAGATTACAGGTGTGAGCCACAGTGTCCAGCCTCATGTTTTTAAAAATATGTATTTCCTAACTTTCTTCATTGAAAGGGCCTAGAGGCCGGGCACGGTAGCTCAAGCCTGTAATCCCAGCACTTTGGGAGGCCGAGGCGGGTGGATCACGAGGTCAACAGATCGAGACCATCCTGGTCAACATGGTGAAACCCCGTCTCTCCTAAAAATACAAAACATTAGCTGGGCATGGTGGCGCTTGCCTGTAATCCCAACTACTGAGGAGGTTGAGACAGGAGAATTGCCTGAACCCAGGAGGCGGAGGTTGCGGTGAGCCGAGATCGCGCCATTGCACTCCAGCCTGGGTAACAAGAGTGAAACTCCGTCTCAAAAAAAAAAAAAAAAAAAAAAAGAAAGGGCCTAGAACCAATGACCCTCAATAGCAATGAGTATACCTAGTTCCCAGATTTTGGTTTCTAAGATGAAGCAGTATGGGGAGAAATGGCTGATTCCAGGTCTGGGGTTACGGAAAGTCCAAGGTGAGTTGGAAACACTTTATGTTACTAAAAAGCAAAGAATTGCTTGAAGACTAATGGGTCATATTAAACGGTCACAGATGCTGTCTTGAGGAGGGCTGTCACTGTCTACATTTAGGACAAATTGAACAGTAAGGTAAATATTAATGGTAATGGATTATGACACATTGACTAAAATCTAAGAGTCAATAGGATTCAACAAAAACATAATTGAGGCTAGAGGTGGTGGGGGGAAGAGACAGAGAAAGCTTATGTTTTTACAGAAGCTATGCAATAAATGTAGAAGGAAAGATACAGTAGAAAATTCACCATTTCATGATATTGCAATCCCTGATATAATTGATTCAAGCAACAATCATCAGTGGATTCTAAAATATTGGATGAAGTACTGTTGGGGAGCAGGATATTATTAGGGAGTGGATATTTACTACCTTAACCAAGTAATCAAATTTGGTGTCATCAGTAGTGGCATAATTTGATAACATTTTCCTTCTGCTATGATACAATAAGATACACACATCAAATAGTATTTTGTTAAAAATGAATAGCCCAAAATAAATCACGAGGAAACAAAGAAATCCCAAATGTGAGATAATCTATGATTAGCCTGGATTCAAATCAAAAGTCAATGTCATTAATAGCAAAATTAAGGGGGAAAGGAAGCAGGGGAAATGTTCTAGATTGAAAAAGATGAAAGAAACCTACTCAGAATGTAGTACATGAATCTTCATTGGAAAGAAAGAGAACAGTAAAAGATATTTAGGTGAAAATTGGAACAAATAACATGTTAGCCATGTGTTAGATTATATTGTGGTATTATGGTTAACTTTTTATGGTGTTATAACAGTATATAGGAAATATTTTTATTTTTAGGAGATGCATGCTGCAGTATTTGGGAGTGAACAAAAAGAAAATGTGGCAAGCCGGGCGCGGTGGCTCAAACCTGTAATCCCAGCACTTTGGGAGGCCGAGGCGGGTGGATCACGAGGTCAACAGATCGAGACCATCCTGGTCAACACGGTGAAACCCCGTCTCTACTAAAAATACAAAAAATTAGCTGGGCATGGTGGCGCATGCCTGTAATCCCAGCTACTCAGGAGGTTGAGGCAGGAGAATTGCCTGAACCCAGGAGGCGGAGGTTGCGGTGAGCCGAGATCCTGCCATTGCACTCCAGCCTGGGTAACAAGAGTGAAACTCTGTCTCAAAAAAAAAAAAAAAAAGAAAATGTGGCAAAATGTTGATAATTGATGAATCTAGGTAAAGGGTATTATTTTTTTAACTTTCTTGTAGATTTGAAAATCTTTGAAACAGTTGGGGTGAAACTACCTAGAATTATGTGGTGATCAATAAGATCTGTCTTTTTTTTTTTTTTTTTTTTCTTGAGACAGCGTCTCACTGTGCTGTCCAGGCTGGAGTGCAGCGGCACTATCACAGCTCACTGCAGCCTCAGCCTCCTAGGCTAAAGTGTTCCTTCCACCTCCCAGCTTTCCAAGTAGCTGGGACTACAAGGCACACACTACCATGCCTGGCTTATTTTTGTATATTTTTAGAGATGGGGTTTTGCCACATTGCCTAGGCTGGTGTTAGAACTCCTGAGCTCAAGCAGTCCTCCGGCCTCAACCTCCCAACGTGCTGGGATTACAGGCGTGAGCCACTACGCCCGGCCAAGATCTGTCTTTATAGCTCCATGCTACTTGTACTGCTGTGTTAGCATTATTACTCCTATTAATTTGTCTATTGACAAAAATGATTTGGGTTTGTGGACTAGATGTATACAATAATTGATTAATCTTTTGACAGGTGCCTTGGAACACTATGTGAATTGCCTGGATCTGGTAAACAAGAGGCTACCTTATGGCCTTGCTCAGATTGGAGTGTGTTTTCATCCTGTTTGTGACACTAAGCAGATATTGAATGGTGGTAAAAGGTACAAAAAGTGGCAAATAACTTGGCCTTGTATTTAAATAGTCAAGAACTAGTCATTTCCACTTGGGATAGATTATATAATTTTCAGATAAACTAACTTTCTGATATTTTTGATATCTAAAGAATTGGTGAGAAGACTGAAGCTTCATTAGTATGGTTTACTCCTGTGAGAGCTTCAAACCAGTGGCTTGATTTCTGGTTACGTCATCGACTCCAGTGGTGGAGAAAGGTACTACAATAATTACCTTTAATCCAATAATTAAGACTGGCAGCAGTGGCTCACACCTGTAATCCCAGCACTTTGGGAGGCCGAAGTGGGAGGATCACGAGGTCAGGAGGTGAAACCCTGTCTCGGGTGTGGTGGCGCATGACTGTAGTCTCAGCTATTTGAGAGGCTGAGGCAGGAGAATCGCTTGAACCCAGGAGGGGGAGGTTGCGGTGAGCCAAGATCACGTCACAGCAAGCAGTCCAGCCTGGGTGACAGAGAGAGACTGTCTCGAGAAAAAAATTTTAATAGTTAATAGATAAATTGTCTTAATGTGTCACTGGTAATTCTTCTGACATACATGAAATTTTATTTGATGTATATAGCTATCAATATGTTACACAAATAAAAAACTCTTTGTCATGATTTTCATTGTTCCAGATTACAAAATCACTTTGGTAAAAACATTTGTTAGGCTCGGATGTGTTTGTTAATTAGCCTTTCTGTATTAGGTAAAATTCAAAGCCCTCACCTAACATTCCTTGCTGATGTAGAGTTTGACCCTTAACCATTGTTACAACTTCAGCTTTTGCTGCCTACCTCCATGAACTTTCCATATTAATCAAAATGGTTCTGTAATTGATAATCAAGTTTTAGTATACACTGAAGAGAAAAGAGTTGAAGTAAGCATTTTTGTCTTGCCATGTGTTAGGTTACCTTTTCCCGACTCAAAAATCCCTAAATACCCATTTAAACTGTGTGAAATAATCACAAGTAATTAAGAACTTCCCAGAAGAATAAGAATGAGAACTACATGATACTTTCTTCTTTATCCCATTTTAGTTCATGATTAACTTCCCCTCTTATTCATTGGCCATACAAAGAGTAGATAACATCAACAGTTCTTTCAGACTAAAAAACAATATTTTAAGCAATATACTCAGTATTTTCACTTTTTATTTTATTTTATTTTTGTTTGTGTTTTTTAAAGACATAGTCTCACTCTGTTGCCCAGGCTGGAGTGCAGTTGCATGATCACAGCTCACTGCAGCTTCTTTAATTATTTGTAGAGATGAAGTCTTGCTCTCTTGCCTAGGCTGGTCTTGAAGGCCTAAGCTCAAGTGATCTGCCTGCCTTGGCCTCCCAAAGAGCTGGGACAACAGGTGTGAGCCACTGCACCCAGCCAGTATTTTCACTTTTTAAAAATTAAATTTCAGCAAGCTGTGTGGTCCCAGCTACTCTGAATCCTGAGGCAGGAGGATTGCTTGAGGCTAGCAGTAGGAGGCAGCGGTGAGCTATAGACTGCACCTGTGAATAGCCACTGCACTCCAGCCTGGGCAACAGAGTGAGACTCCATCTCAAAAAAAAAAAAAACTAAATGTAAACATTTGTATTTGGGACTTGACTAGTTTCACACATTTGCTGCATAAAAAGTATCAGATGATTTAAATTCTTACAGATAATTATGAGAGTAGAGTTAAATTAGCAGTTATTTAAATATGTTAAGACAAACATAAATTTTATTTTCCAGTTTGCTGTGAGTCCATCTAACTTCAGCAGCAGTGACTGTCAGGATGAAGAAGGCCGGAAAGGAAACAAACTTTATTACAATTTTCCCTGGGGAAAGGAGCCAATAGAAACCCTGTGGAACCTAGGAGATCGTGAACTTTTACACATGTATCCTGGCAATGTGTCTAAATTACATGTATGTTTTACCGCAAGCTCTTACGTATTTTTTACCCAGATTCTCTATAATTTCTGAACGATTTGAGAATAAGGTGCAAATATGGTGTCTCATTACCCCTTCTTACTTCATTTTGTATTTCTCAGGTGCAGAGACACTAACCTATATAACTACAATACAGCCATCAAAATCAGGAAATTAACAGTAATCCACTATTACCACAGAGCCCTACACATTTAACTGATTATCTTAATAATAACCTCTATAGGTCCAAGATCATATCTTTCATGTAGTTGTCATGTGCCTTTACTCTCCGTCAGGTGAACAATTCCTCTTGTCTTGCATGACCTTGACATTTTTGAAGAGTACAGTCTAGTTAGTCTGTAGGACATCCCTTGGTTGGGATCTGACTGCCGTTTGCACATTACTTACGTATTTTTGCTGGGAATACTGCAGAAGTGGTACTCTCAGTGCATCATATTAGACTGTTACTGGTGATGTTAACTTTTATCTCTTAGTTAAAATGGTATATACCAAATTTCTCCAATGTAGAGTGAATAAATATTTTGTACTTATTAATTAGCCAGTAATAAGTTGTGGGCAGATACTTTAAGATGATGCAGATAATTTCTCACCAAATTTTGCCTTACTAGTTGCAGCATCCATTGATGATTCTTGCCCAGATCAGTTATTACTATGAGGTTTGCCAAATGGTGATTTTTTAAAAAAGTTTTCAATCAGGCTGAAATACAGTGGTGTGGTGATAGCTCACTGCAACCTCAAACTCTTGATCCTCCTGCCTTACCAAGTAGCTAGGACTACAAGTGTGTATCACCACACCCAACTAATTGTTTACTTTTTGTAGAGACAGGGTCACATTATGTTGCTTGGGCTCAAGCGGACCTCCTGCCTCATCCTTCCAAAATACTGGGATTATAGGTGTGAGCCACTGCACTCAGCCTCTTAAGCTATTTTGTATATGTTTTTAGTTGATTTTATGGTTAATGTCCAAATAAAGTTTTAGAGAACAGTGAAGCAGACCAATATAGGCCAAAAAACAGAATAGAAAAAATTTTTTCTGGATGGTGTGAGAAATCAGATACTTTTAGAAAAGAGTTGCCACCAGATATCTTGACATTGTTGGATGTCCAGTTTTCAAAAAATTAGAAAACATTAAAGCAATCTCTCTCTCTCTCTCTTTTTTTTTTTTTTTTAAATAGGGATGGGATCTTGCCATGTTACCCAGGCTGGTCTCGAACTCCTGGGTTCAAATGATCCCCTTCCCTTGGCCTCCCAAAGTGCTGAGCTTACAGGAGTGAGCCACTATGCCCAGCCTAAAGCATTCTTCATACCTAAAGATTCAGATTTAGACTTTGTTTGATTCAAATTGTACCACAGAATCTTTCAGTGCTCGAATTTCTCTCTTTTTTTTTTTTTTTTTTTTTTTTTTTTTTTTCGTTTGAGATGGAGTCTTGTTCTGTCACCCAGGCTGGAGTATAGTGGCATGATGTCTCCTCTCTGCTCACTGCAACCTCTGCCTTCTGGGTTCAAGTAATTATCATGCCTCAGCCTCCTGAGTAGCTGGGACTACAGGCATGTACCACCACGCCTGGCTAACTTGTGTATTTTTAGTAAAGGTGGGGTTTCACCACATTGGCCAAGCTGGTCTTAAACTCCGGACCTCAAGTGATTCGTCTGCCTTGGCCTCCCAAAGTGCTGGGATTATAGGTGTGAGCCACTGCTCCCAGCCCAGTATATCTTTTTAAATGTCAGTTCTATAACTGTGCGAAATAAAACTGGTAGAATAGAGTCCCAGATATCAGAAAGTTTACTGCCTTTGAAGGCAAATTCTTGTGAATGTTTAAAGTATCCTATGCAGTTCAAATGGGTTTAAAATGTCAGTACATATATGTATTAATGAGTGCTTGAACATATATGTATTAATGAAGACTGGTTGAATAATAGAGGTTGAGGATTTAAATGTATGGGTTTTTTTTTTTTCCTTTTTTTGCTCTGCGACTCTAGCCAAAGGTGATTTTTTTTTCAGTATTAAAAAAATTACATGAATATCCAGGTTAACAATGATTTACAAAAAAAGAAAGATGAAAGTGCAACTGTTTTTATTCAAAACTTTAAAAATTTCTACAACTGAAATTTTTAAGAAATTGGAAATAATTTCTCATCGGGTTTAGAGGAGAAGTAGTAAGTCTGTTTATCAATACTTAATTTATATCATGTACTATGATGTAGTTGATTTTCATAATTATGGCTTTAATGCAAAAAGTAAGTTTTTAAAAGATGTTTTTAATGAAAATAACTTTACATTTCAGAAAATTATACTCCAGACCCCTTTCCCTAAAGCACACCGTTTTTTTCCCTAAGGCTTCTTTAGAACTTTTCTCAGTAGTCAGCAAACAATTTTTACTTAAAAGTGTTACCTTTCTAAATACTAGTTCTCAGCTAGAGAATTAGTATTAATTAACTAATACTTCAAATTATATAATTATAATTTTAAAAATAGTCCCTAGGCCTGTGGAAAAAATTGATGCCTAGGTCCCACTGCAGATGAGTTCGTTCCGAATCTCTGGGATAGAGCCCAACCAAGCACCATAGTTTTAAAATTCACATTTGAGCCTCACTTATTAAACCCTGAGCTCACTGAGAGCAGAGAATACATCTTGCTCGTCTTTGTGGACCCAATGCCTAGCACAGGCCTGGCATAGAGTGGGTGCTTTGTAACATGAAATACTACTTTTGTATTCTGATTGTGTAAGTCTAAAATAGGTACTTTTAAGAAGGTCCTGTGAAATGATTCTTTATTTTTCTTCTGTTTTTCTACGAAGGGCCGAGATGGACGAAAAAATGTAGTTCCTTGTGTTCTGTCTATAAGTGGGAATCTAGACCGAGGCGTGCTGGCCTACCTCTATGATTCTCTCCAGTTGACGGAGAACTCCTTTACAAGAAAGAAAAATCTTCAGAGAAAGGTGCTGATATTTCAGAGATAGACTTAAGAAACTATTTTTTTTTCTTTTTTTAATGTTAGTATGCTTGATTTCTAACATAAACTCAGAATAATAAATTTAGTGCATGTAGTGTAAGTATTTCTCAGTTTTTTTAGAATCTAGCCACAGGAATAAGAATCAGGTTCTCACAGAATAGAACAAGGCATCCCTAGTGAGTAATGTCAAAGGCATTTCTGTTTAATCGTGAACAGACAGCTATCTCTATGACTCCTAGCCTCTGAACCTTTCCATTGGTGGCTTCCGTTTGTATCAGAAGCCAAAGCATTGGTATATAGGAGGAAGAAAGACCCGGATCAGGGAGACCTGTGCTGTTGACCTGTCTGCTGCCCCCGGAATCTGGCTTCTGGTCTTGTTCCACATGGCTGGTCCCTGGATCAGAGGAGCTAGCTGCGGGCCTGGAAAAGCTGGTTTTAGTGCATGAACATGCAGTTTGAGCATGTTTATGGATCAAAGAAAATCAAGAGAGAGGAGAAGTTGAAGTTATAGGAGAGAAAATAAAGGACTTATGGGGCAAGATGAAGGAAACAGGAGGGGTCAGGATGGGATCAAGAGCCCAAGTAGAGGAATTTGCCTTGAAAAGGAGTTTTTTGAAACATCAGGGAAGAAGAAAAGGACAGTGAGATATAAAAAGGCTACTGGGGCTTTTTGGCCTTTAAAGGACATTTTGATACCCTCTATTTTCTCAGGGAGTTAGGAGGTGCTATTATTACTTTAAATGTGGATGAGTGGGGGTTTAAATGGCATGATTGAGAAATAGTCATACACCCTTTGAACATAAAAGGAAGCTGCCCCAAATCAAAAGTTTGTGTTTTTTTTTTTTTTGAAACGGGGTCTTGCTCTGTTGCCAGGCTGGAGTGCAGTGGCTTGATTCCAGCTCACTGCAACCTCTGCCTCCTGGATTCAAGCGATTCTCCTGCCTCAGCTTCCTGAGTAGCTGGGACTATAGGCACATGCCACCACGCTAATTTTTGTATTTTTAGTAGAGATGGGGTTTCACCATGTTGGCCAGGATGGTCTTAATCTCTTGACCTTGTGATCCGCTTGTCTAAGCCTCCCAAAGTGCTGGGATTTCAGGCGTGAGCCACCACGCCCGGCCCCAAATCAAAAGTTTTAACAGGTAATGTTGAGTTTTCAGCTGGGATTGGGAACCATGAGTTTGTAGGAAACCATTCTGCTTAGTTATGTGATTTATTATACAGTGTTCATTTAGCCTGCTATAGCTATAGAGAAGTCTGATTATATAATTGTTCTCAGGGATGGGGTTTAGAAATGGTATGTAGCAAATAAAGGGATCCTTTCTTTTTCTTGTACTCTACTTCCAAACCATCAGCAAATCCTGTTTGACCCTAACTTCAAAACATATCCTGAGTCTGAGCACTTCCTAACCTGTCCACTACTACCACCCTGCTCCACTGCCATCCCTCCTGCCCTGATAGAGTGGCCCCGTTAAAAGGTATATGTTATGTTGCTCCTCTGCTCAGAACACTTCAGGAAAGCCGCTCATCTCAGGAAAAACGGAAGCCCTCTTTTTGATCTGCTGTTCTCCACCTCACTCAGTCTGCTCCAGCAGCACTGACCTTGCTGTTTCTAGAACATGCCAGGGATGCTGCCAGCTCAGAGCCCTGTCATTTGTATTCCCCATTGCCTAGAGTGCTCTTTCTCCATCACCCACATCTTGTCCTCCCCCCCACTTTCGAGTGTTCGATCAAGTGTCATGTCAGGGAGAGGACCTTCTCTAACCATCTTACTAACTTTACCAGCCTGCCCCTTGCCAGTATCTCCCATCTTCCTTTTTTGGCACCTACCACCTTCACGTGTATTATTTACTTTATTATTTTTATTGTCTGTTTCTCCCTGCCATGAGAGGCAGAGATTTTTGCCCCTAGCACCTAGAACTGTTCCTGGTATCAGAGGCATTAAAATGTTTGTTGGATGGATTAATGAATGAGAAGAGGAGGCTAGGCATAATGGCTCACACCTGTAATCCCAGCACTTTGGGAGGCCAAGGTGGGTGGATCATTCAGGACAGGAGTTTGAGACCAGTCTATCTGGGCAACATGGCAAAACTCCATCTCTCCAAAAAAAATACTAGCCAGGCATGGTGGCATGCACCTGTAGTCCCTGCTACTTAGGAGGCTGAGGTGGGAGGATGGATTGAGCCCAGATATGGGGGTTGCAGTGAGGCAGTGAGTGGAGCATTCTAGCCTGGGCAACAGAGCCAGACCCTGTCTCAAAAAAAAAGCAAACAAAATAAGTTTTAAAAGTTTTTAATTAAAAAATATATATAAAAAGAGAAGAGCAGTAGGTTTTGAGAAGAGAGAAAAAGTCAAAATGCTAAGCCTCGTGGCTAAGGCTGGTAGGATCCAAAGTGATGTTTGGAAGAAGTATTTTGACTGAGGGAGTGGTCAGAAAATGGGAGGGGGTCTCAAGTTAATTTCTTTCTTTCTTTTTGTTTTTTTTGTTTGTTCGTTTAAGACAGGATATCATTCTGTTGCCCAGACTGGAGTGCAATGGCATGGATCTTGGCTCACTGTACCCTCAAATCTCATGGGTCAAACATTCTTCCCACCTCAGTCTCCTGAGTAGCTGGGATTACAGGCATATGCCACACCCAGCTAATTTTTTTTTATTTTTTGGGTAGAGACAAGGTTTCACCATGTTGCCCATGCTGGTCTGGGATTGCTGAGCTCGAGGAATCCACTTGTTTCAGCCTCCCAAAGTGTTGGAATTACAGGTGTGCACCATCATACCTGGCCAAATTAATTTCTTTCTGCCAAACATCTAACTGGATAAATCTGGGGGCAGCTGAATATGTTATTACATGGTGTTTTTATGACTTCAGCTAACTTCTATTTTCACACAGAAAATTGGAACTGTTAAGAAACTGTGTTGTTAATATTTGTGTTACATTTAAACTTGTGTTTTTTTAAACAAACTGCTTTTTGACCTTTTCCTATCTTCTTCCCCCATTAAATGCCTTAGGTACTTAAACTTCACCCTTCTTTAGCCCCTATTAAGGTTGCTTTGGATGTAGGAAGAGGCCCTACATTGGAACTAAGACAGGTGAGTTAAATGAGTTTAAATGTCATGATTTTAATTACAGATTGACTATTACCTGAAAGGCTTTGGACCAGGATTGTTTTGGATCTTGGATTTTTTTGGGTATATTTGCATCTCTGATCCCCAAATTCAAAATCTTAACTGTTCTAATGAGCATTTCCTTTGAACTCAAAAAGTTTCAGGTTTTGGAGCATTTTGGATTTTGGATTTTCTGATTAAGGATGTTCAACCTAACCATTACTCTAAGTAAACTTGATAGCTTGCCATTTAAAATTTTATTTTGATTCATTTGCTTTTTAAAATGTTTTAATTTGCCTGGCCAACATGGCGAAACCCGGTCTCTACTAAAAATACAAACATTAGCTGGGTATGGTGGTGTGTGCCTGTAATTCCAGCTATTCAGGAGGCTGAGGCACAAGAATCATTTGAACCTGGGAGGCGGAGTTTGCAGTGAGCTGAGATTGCACCACTGCACTCCAGCCTGGGTGACAGAGCTGACCTTGTCTCGAAAGGAAAAAAAAAAAAAAGGCTTTAATTAAATAATGAACTGTGGGTAAGTACTGTGATTATATATAATTTGAAGTGTGTTAAGCTGAATGCAATTCAGTGGGTTTGCTGTTCATGCCTACTATTCATAGTTTCATTTTATTAGTGAGCTGAGTATACATAGTAATTAAAATATCTGTACAGATGTTAGTGAATTATTTCTTTCCCTTTTGAACTTTTTTGTTTTTTGAGACAGTCTTGCTCTGTCACCCAGGCTGGAGTGCAGTGGCACGATCTTGGCTCACTAAAACCTCCACCTCCTGGGTTGAAGCAGTTCTCCTGCCTCAGCCTCACGAGTAGATGGGATTACAGGCATACACCACCGGCACCACACCTGGCTAATTTTTTTATATTTTTAGTAGAGGGTTTTACCATGTTGGCCAGGCTGGTCTCAAAACTCCTGACCTCAAGTGATCCGCCCACCTCAGCCTCCCAATGTGCTGGGATTACAGGTGTGAGCCACCATGCCCAGCCTTTCCCCTTTGAACTTAAACATTTTTGGTAACTGACTATATTCAAATATTCGAGATCTATAATTTTATTTTGATTTTTCTAATTTGTTCTAATTATTACTCTTAAGAAAGGCCAAGGGGAATGGCTTTCATTTTGTTCCAGAGACTCCTTCAGCAGTCATCATTTCTGTCTGGGTAATTCAGACCCAGCCTAGACCTGAATGCAGACACTAAAAACATTTAAAGACTTTGAGAGTCCCCCAGCTTTCTGACCCTGGCTCTTTTGGAGAGGTCTGGGAAGACAGGAGATAGTGAACTCAAAGAAGAAGATAATGGCTTATGTCCCACATTTCCTCCCAGGGTATGGCAGTCTCCCTGATACCCTTATAGCTAGGAAGCTCCTAGGGTGCTGTAGCTCACCATTTCGTAATGTCTGGAGAGATTTGTGGTTGTCATGGAATTGGAGGGTGCTGCGGGCCTCTCATGGAGGCCAGGAATGCTGCTAAACACCCTGTGTCAGCAGTGCCAGGGTGCGGAACCCTCCTCTGGAGCGTCAGTGCTTGACTGTTAAAGGGGTTTTACATTTTGCTTTGTTTTGCTTCCCTATTGCTTGTTTTTTGTTTTTTTGTTTGTTTGTTTGAGACAGAGCCTTGCTCTGTCGCCAGGTGCCAGGCTGGAGTGCAGCAGTGCGATCTCAGCTCACTGCAACGTCCACCTCCTGGGTTCAAGCAATTCTCCTGCCCAGCCTCCTGGGTAGCTGGGACTATAGGCACACACCACCATGCCCAGCTAATTTTCTTTGTATTTTTAGTAGAGACAGGGTTTCACCATGTTGGCCAGGATGGTCTCGATCTCTTGACCTCGTGATCCACCTCGGCCTCCCAAAGTGCTGGGATTACAGGCTTGAGCCACCGTGCCCAGCCATTGCTTGTTAAGAAAACAGTAAAGTTTCCAGTTAAGCCTTTGTCTCCAGCATTCCAGTTAAATTGGTCAATCAGTCTCTTCTTGAAACTTTTCTTGGCTGACTTCTGGAGTCCCGCCCACCTTTTCCTCATCCTTTTTCTTTCCTGGCTCTTCTGCCTCATCCTGACTTGGTGGTATACCTGGGGCTCAGGCCTCACCTCTCAGATGAGGGCTCTGAGTTCATACAGCCCTTTGGATCTCCTGGTTTTTTCTGATAGAATCTGTTGTAATTTGTTTGTGTTTTGAATGATACCAAGGGTAATAAAAATTCTTATTTGGTATACAAATTTCTCAGAAGATTAGCAGTTACTACTCAGCTTTGCAGTGCTTAATATTTTCATTTTCAGAAGAAGTATATGATTTATAAAGTATATGATATGGAAGTTATAAATATCACATAATTAAACATACCCATTTTAGAGATTGAAGAGGGTGATTCATGGCTTCACAAAAATAGGACAGTCACTCTAGCTATCATTATTTCTTTCATATTGAAGTTTTTCTATTTCTTTCTAGGTTTGTCAAGGGCTGTTTAATGAATTACTAGAAAATGGGATTTCTGTATGGCCTGGTTATTTGGAAACTATGCAGTTCTCATTGGAACAACTTTATTCAAAGTAAGAATTGTATTTTCATATAATCAAAAACTCTGGGTACATTTTTTTAGTTTCTTTATGATAACAGAAACAAATCTCTTCTAAATATATATATAAAATGTAATTTAAAATTATTCCTCACTTTCCCTTTTACAGAACTATGTGTACTTAATTAATTGCTACAGCAGGGAACAGTATTCAGCAAGTATGTTTGAGCATATGCTGTGTGCACTTCCAATACTTAATGTCATGAAGTATGTATACCTCAGCTTATCCACTTATGGATGGAAGTATGTACGTAGACAGCATGTGTTGAATCAAGACTGAAAGAACATGAGTGGAATGCCTTTCCTTGCTGGCATTGTGGTCCATTCTGAGACTGAGTGGAAGGGAATTCTATTCTGGAGGGATAGTCTATTCTAGTTTCTTAGGGATTGGCACTTCTTTTCACGCAGTTGCTCAGGACAGAAACTGGCTATCATCCGTAACTCCTCCCTCTTCCTTATTCTCCACATCCAGTCCATCACCAAATGCTGTCAGCTTGCCTCCTAAATGTATCTCAAATCCATCTCTGTCTTCGCTGCCACTACCCAAGTTAGAGTCACCAATATCTCTTGCCTGGATTTTTAAAATAATCTCCTAATTGAGCTCTCTGTGTCTAGTCTTACCCCATGCTATTTCATTAACTGTTGTTTTTAAATGAAGTAATCCATTCTTGTTATTTTTTAAAACTTTTTGTGTTGAATACATATCTTTTGAGTGAAAAGTTGTGAAGCTTTGTGTTTTGATCTTCAGTTATCTGAAAACTTGCTAAAATATACCTTCCAGGCAGGGCACAGTGGCTTACGCCTGTAATCCCAGCACTTGGGAGGCCAAGGCCCACAGATTACCTGAGGTCAGGAGTTCAAAACCAGCCTGGCCAACATGGTGAAACCCCGTCTCTGCTAAAAATACAAAAAGTTAGCCAGGTGTGTTGGCTTATGCCTGTAGTCCTAGCTACTTGGGAGGCTGAGGCAGGAGAATTGCTTGAACCCAGGAGGTGGAGGTTGCAGTGAGCTGAGATCAAGCCACTGTATTCCAGCCTTGACAATAAAGCGAGACCTCATCTCAAAAAAAAAAAAAAAAAAAAAAAAATACACCTTCCAAATGATGTCCAAAGAAAAGTAGTTTTCTATAACTAGAGCATCTAATGGTTTTATTATGTGTAAAATGGAGGGGCAGCACTTGAACTTTCTTGTCCTTTCAGGTTCTAAAATCTTATCCTTTGAGTAATGTAGACATTATCGAGTTTCAGTTGTTCCTTATATGATAAAGGTTTTATTGTACCAGGATATTTTTATGAAAATATAAAACATCTACTCTGTTTTATGCACTTTGATATAGTAGTGAACAAGATGGAAAAATTTACTACTCTTCTGAAGCTTATATTCTAGTAGGACAAAATAGACAATAAATGAGTAAACAAAGAAATAAAAGGTTTCTGATGGAGTCCTACAAAGGAAATAAACAGTAATGAGATAGTGTGACTTGGCAAGTATACAGAAGGTCAGCTGTGCATCTGTCTGTCTGGTTATTGCTGAACTAGAAGCTGTAAGTTAGCATACTCAGTTATAAATGAAGCATGATTTTGGTATAATTTGTTATACCAAACTGCATCTTTTTAATAATACTGTTAATTGTAAGAGATTTTGATATAAAATAATTGTTCTTAGACTGCATCCAAGAACCAAAAGACTGAGGTTATTATGAGGTTCATCTGTGATATCACCCCAAAAGGATGTGTTGAGGTATGGGTGTTTATTTCTCAGATTTCATTTTCTTTTATGCCTTTTCAGCTCTAGCAACAAGTTAGAAACTGTCTGAAAATTTTACTTTGAATATGATTCAGAAACTTTAAAAATGTTAGGTTTTTTTGGTCCAGCCCTGAAGCACCCTGACTGAGTTTGTGACTCATGAGAGGGCATGGACACTGAATTATAGCTGGCAATGCGGGGGAATTTATCATTTATGTTTGTGCTCATGTGTCTGTTTAAATACTTTTTCTTAGGTATGATGAGATGAGTATCCTCTTCACAGTTTTGATTACTGAAACTACTTTGGAGAATGGATTAATACATCTGAGAAGTAGAGACACCACAATGAAGGAAATGATGCATATATCCAAATTAAAAGACTTTTTGATCAAGTATATATCATCAGCTAAGAATGTATAGGTTTTTATATTTGTATAATAAATATTCTTCTCTCCTAATTTGGTTGTCTTAGGTTCACTTAGATTTTTTCTAGCCCCTTTGCACTTATGAAGTGGACATTTGTGGTGCTTGCTTTCATTTAGTGTTTATATTTTTGATGTCTTTCATTGTATCAGGAATATGTTCAGCTACAAGAAACAAAAATCTATTGGATTAAGCAAATTGGGGTTCGTTTTTCTCATACACAAGAAATCTGGATGGTAGACTGTCCAAAGCTAGTATTACTGTTTCTATAGTTATAGTATTTCTGTTCTGCCATCTTTTAGTACGCTGGTGTTTACAATTGTTGCTTCAGGATGGTAGATTGCTGCTGTATTTCCAGCCTTCTTAGCATTCTAGTTAGGAGAAGAGTTAAAGAGATAAGAGCTAGTCAGCCAAGACTCTTGCCTTTTAAATTAGAAAAGTAAAAAAGCTTTTCCAGACATCCCACTGGGAAGATGTCTTTATATCTCATTGGTCAGAACTAAATCACATGATAAATTCAAGACAGATCATTATCCAAGGGAATGAAAATGTTCTGATTTAGATCAAACACAATTTATCCCTTGAGGCTGCAATAGTGTCTTACTCTCTCAGAAATGGGCTTCATTATGAGGTCTTTATGGAATCTGCCACATCTACACTGTTGGATATCAAAAATTAACCTAAAACTTTTAAAACTAGAACATTTGTGGATTTTTGAAAAGCAAACTAAAATGTATGCTACATATAAGACAGAAAGTAAACTGCAATAGATGACATCTATTGTTTACTTACTGTCTTATATCTATGTTTATAAGAAATCTTTCAACTTTTATGTGTTGATATGATTGTATAAAATATCCCATTACTAACAACTTGACAAAGATTCCAACTGATCATGCCTGTAAAATATTTCAAAAGTTTGGCTAATTTGTCTTAATTGACTTGACTTGGTAGGTTTTTGTCTTTTTTAATTTTAATTTTTTTTTCTGAGCCACAAGCAGTCCTCCTGCATTGCCCTCCCAAAGTGTTGGGATAACAGTTGTGAGCCACTGCACCTAGGCTTGTTTTGATTATTTTGTGCTTATTTTTTTATTATGGAAAAATTTAAAAACAGACATATAATTAATAGTATTAATCCTACGTACTGATCACCTAGCACCAATAACAATCAACCTTTGGCCAGTCCCACCTCATCTAATGCCACCCTTCCATATTATTTCAGTTATTTATTTAAATTTATTAATTAAGAGACAAGGTCTCACTATGTGGCCCAGGCTGGTCTCAAACTCCTCAGCTCAAGTGATCCTCCTGTCTCAGCCTCCCAAAATATTGGGATCATAGGCGTGAACCACCTCACCTGGCCTCCTTCCATTTGATTTCAAGGCAGATAGCAGATACCATTTCATCTGCAAATATTTAAGGATCTTTTGTTAATAACCACAACACTATTATCACATTCAGAAGAACACTAGATGATATCAAGGAGTTATTGACAATTTTCTTGGGTGTGACAATAGTATGTTTATATTTTTCTTTTTAAAAAAATCCTTGTCTGACAGATATGTAAGTATTTTGGGGTGAAATTATATGGTATCTGAGACTTGCTTTATAATTCTTGTGTTTAAAAAAACTTTTAAGTGGTAGGAGATGACATAAGAATAGCGCTGAGTTGTTGAAGCTAGGTGATTGGCACATAGACCCCGGGGTTCATAGTATGTGCCATTTTGAGAATTTTCATAATAAAAACAAAAAACTCTTTACTATCAAATATTCACTTAATTTCCAGTTGTCTCATAAATTCATAAAGTTTTGTACTGTTTGTTTTCATCAGGATCCAAATAAGGTCCATATATTGAGATTAGTTAGGTCTTCTAGTCTTTCTTATTCTATAAAATCACAGTCTCTCTCTTTTAAGAAACTTGGTTATTTATTGCGGGGTTTTCCACTGTCTGGATTTTGCTTGTTGCATCTTTGTAGCAGAGTTTAACCTGTTCCTCTCTGTATTTCTTGTAGAATGGTAGTTGAATGCAGTGACTTGATCAGCTTCAAGTTCAATTTTTTGCAGAAGCTTATTTCATAGGTTGTTGTGTACTTTCATTAGGAAGACTAAGACATGGTAGTGTCTTGGCCAAACATGGTGGCCCATGCCTATAATCCCAGCACTTTGGGAGGCGGACGGGGGTGGATCACTTGAGGTCAGGAGTTCAAGACCCGCCTGGCCAACATGGCGAAACTCCATTTCTACTAAAAATAGAGAAATTATCTGGCCATGGTGGTGGTAGTATTGTCTGGTTGTTTCTCTTTTGGGGTTGCCAGCAACCATTGATTAATACCTCAATTGGTGAGTTCATTAAAGATTGTTAAAATGGTGATATTCTGATTCTGTCTGTCTTTGTTTGCTAGAGTACTTCTATAGAAAAACTTCTTACTGAGTATTTGCTTATCTAGAGGTATGGGAAAGGTAGGATAAATGCTGGATTCTTTTTTTTTTTTTTTTTGGACAAAGCGTCTCACTTTTATGACCTCAAGTTGAGAAAATATTTCTTAATCTGGACAAATACACACACCCAAATGTGCACACGTGCATGCACACACACACATCCACACACACACATTAATAAAGGAAGAGATAGGCAAGTTCTTAAAATTAAGACTTATTTTCATCAAAAGTCACTATTAGAAGTTAAAAAAAAAAAAAGATCCAGAGTGGGAGACAACTATTTAAAAATAAGAAAAAAACACCCCAGAAGAAAAACAGTTGGATCCGGAAACAGGCATTTAATCAAAGAAGAAATCCAAATGACCTATAAGTAAAGGCTGGCTGGGCTCGGTGGCTCACGCCTATAATCCCAGCACTTTGGGAAGCCGAGGCGGGCAGATCACCTGATGACAGGAGTTAAAAGACTAGCCTGACAACATGGTGAAACCCCGTCTCTACTAAAAATACAACAATTAGCTGGGCATGGTGGTGTGTGCACCTGTAATCCCAGCTCCTCGGGAGGCTGAGGCAGAAGAATTGCTTGAACCCAGGAGGTGGAGGTTGCAATGAGCTAAGATCATGCCACTGTACCCCAGCCTGAGCAACAGAGTGAGACTCTAAATAAATAAATAAAACAACTGACAGTGCCAGTGTTGGTGAAAACATAGGGAATGGAAACTTCCACACTGCTTATGGGAGTGTGAAGGCGGAAGGACCACTTTGGAAAATAGAATGCTGTTATCTACTTAGCTGGGAGATACGCATACCTTAGGACCCCAGTCATTCTATTTCTATGTATTTTCATCAGAATGGCATGCATGTGGGTACCAGGAGACGTGAGCATAGCAGACTTTTCACATTATTTGTAATAGCCGCAAACTGACAACAACCCAAAATGTCTGTTAGCAATAGGATGGATACATCACAGTATTTTAAAACAATGGAATACGACTTAGCAATGGAAAGCAATGAATTACAACTCCATATAGCAATATGGGTAAATCTCACCAACGTGATGTTGAGCAAAATAAAAGCCAAACAAGAATAAATATGATGTCAGTCCATTTATATTCAATTCAAAAACAGGCAAAGCTAAAGATGGGGATTAGGAATGCAGACTTACATGGTAAAACTATAAAGTAGAGAAAAGAAGTGATTCCCATGGAGGAGGAGTGGAGTTGGGGAGGTGGGGCTGTGATCAGAAAGAGGCAGGCAGAAGCCTTCTGGGCTGCAGGCAACATTTCATCCACTACCACTTGGGCGGTAGATTCACTGGCGTATACCTGATATAATTTGTTAAACTGTACATATTGTTGTTCTTTTTTTAGAAATACAGTCTTATGTCACCTTGGCTAGAGAGCAGTGGTACAGTCATAACTCAGTATAACCTCAAACTTCTGGGCTCAAGCGATCCTCCTGCCTCAGCCTCCCAAGCAGCTAGGACACTAAAGGTGAGCACCACCACACCTGGCTAATTTTTTAAAAAATTTTTGTGGAGATGGGATCTTGTTGTTGTGTTGTCCAAGCTGGTCTCAAACTCCTGGGCTCAAGTGATCCTCCCCTCTAAGCCACCCAAAGCACTGGGATTACAGGCAAGAACCACTGTGCTCAGCCTATATGCATACTTTTAATGTGTTTTCAGATAATATGCACTCTATTTCACCATGAAAAATTTAAAGAATGTGTAGATTTGCAAAATAACCAAAGTGAAACTTCTAGACATGAAAAATGTGGCTATTGAAATGAAACTCAGCAGATCCTCTTCTTCCGCCCTTCCTGGACAATTCAACCCAAAGGCCACTGGGTGGGGCTGAGCCTCTGCACAGGGATAAGGTGGAGTGGGAAGCTGAAAGGCCAGGGAGCTCGGTGACCAGCCCTTCTGGGGTGAAGAGGGAGTCCACCTAGGGGTGGGTCCCAGAGCAGGAGGTTGGGTGTCCACAAGGTGATAAGTCCATCCAGCATGTGGTGCTGGAGCCCATGAGGGGCCAGGAGTGTCCTGCAGGTGGGGGTGGGGACATGGGCTGGGGCAGGTGTCCTCACCAAGGTGGGGCAAACGGGATATTCTCATGGAGGGGCAGTCTGGGAGGGAGGCTATCTGAATGAGGGAGGAGGGTGGTGATGGAGCCCTGAGTGGGTGTCAGACTCTGAGGGGACAGGAAGGGCCTCTGGGTGGGATGGCTGACCAGGGTGGGGCGTTAGAGCCTGAGCAGGGTGGGGAAATGTCTGGGGGAGGGGTGAGGGTGGCTAAGGTGTCGGAGTCTGAGAGTGTGTCAGGCTCTGCATAGGAGCACGTTCATGTAGGGAATATCGGGGTCAGAGTCCAAATGGGGTGAGAAGGGGGTCTGCATGGAGATTTATTATATGCAAGGGGATTAATCAAATTCCATAAACTGGCAGGGCACAGCGGCTCATGCCTGCAATCCCAGCACTTTGGGAGGCTGAGGCAGGCAGATCACCTGAGGTCTGGAGTTCAAGACCAGCCTGGCCAACGTGGTAAAACCCCGTCTCTACTAAAAATCCAAAAATTATCCGGGTATGGTGGTAGGTGCCTGTAATCCCAGCTACTGGGGAGGCTGAGGCACATACAGATAGCTGTAGAGATGGAAATAGGTATAGATGTTAATATATGCATAAATGCATTCCTAACCTCTGATGGTTAGAAGGGTCTAGAAACACGAAAACCCTAAGCGCCATGGTCACAGCTAGAGCTCAACCTCTGTTTCTAAATACAGAGCTCTTCCTAAAGGAACCAGAGCTCCCTGGAAATACAGCTGACTCCAGAGCCGGATCATGACAAGGACAAGATGAACCTGGAATATATTGTTGGGCCAGACAGTAAAGAAACACTCTGCCGGGCAGAGTGGCTCATGCCTGTAATCCCAGCACTTTGGAAGGCTTAAGGTGGGTGGATCATGAGGTCAGGAGTTCAAGACCAGTCTGGCCAAGATGGTGAAACCCTGCATCTACTAAAAATTTAAAAAATTAGCTGGCCGTGGTGGTGGGTGCCTGTAATCCCAGCTACTCAGGAGGCTGAGGCAGAGAATTGCTTGAATGCAGAAGGCGGAGGTTGCAGTGAGCTGAGGTCACGCCACTGCACTCCAGCCTGGGCGACAGAGCAAGACTCCATCTCAAAAACAAACAAAACATATAATGATGAGTGATATGACTCCAAATTGATATATAGTATATTCACATAATTTCAAACTGCCCATCCACAAAATATTAATTAATACAAAACATTAGTTACACTGGAGAAACCTAGCAAACACCACTTTACCCAAGTGATCTAAGTGATGCGCAGGTACGGGGGAGGTGGCAGACATGCACCGCCTGATGGGACACATCAAGGAGAACAGGACATCCTCTGTAATAATCCTGGCAAAAATGCATCCCCAGTCCAACCATGGGTCACGTCAGGTAAATTCAAAATCAGTGACATGAAATCGTCACTGGTCCATTATCTTCAAAAGTGTCAAAGACGGGGAAAGGCTGAGGAACAATTCCAGATTGAAGGAGAAGGAACATGACAGCAAAATCCAATGCTTGATTCTTCAGCCAAAGCATCCTTTAACTATCAAGGAGCTTATGGTGGCAACTGGCTGGAATGGGGACCTGAGGATTATTTGGCGGTAATGTATTGGGGTTAATTTCCTGGTTTTAAATGATTGTTCTATGCGGAAGCACGTTCTTATAGGAAGTCCTTTGGGCAGAAGGAAAATATTGTCAGATGGAAATCTGGATCTACATAAAAAAATAAAGAGCACTGGAATTGCCAGACAGTGAGGAATACTTACTTGGTCCCTGCCTAGGTTCCTGACACAGAGCTCCTACATCCCTTGGAATTTCTTGGGTAATAGGAGCATCTTTTGTTCTAATGAGGTGACTCTTTGTGGGCTGTTGGATAGTCTCAGAATGGAGGCTGGTTACCAGAAAGACCAGGCCATGATTAGAAGCTTGGAACTTTCAGCCCCACTTCGACCAGTCCCCTAAACCACAGGGCTGGGAGAGCGTTGAGGCTGGTGAATGCATCCACATGCCCCACGGGCGGCAGTCCCCATCCCCCAGGAACAGAAGCATGTGTGCTCACGACCCTCTGGACTTTACCCTGTGTACCTCCTCATCTGCATCTTTTATGCCTTTTTTTTTTTAGATAGAGTCCTGCTGTCACCGACGCCAGGGTGCAGTGTCAGGATCACGCTCACTGTAGCCTCAATTGCCCCAACTCCAGTGATCTTCCCACCTCAGCCTCCCGAGTAGCTGGGACCACAGATGTGCACCATCATGCCCAGCTAATTTTTGTATTTTTAGTAGAGACAGGGTTTCATCATGTTGCCCAGTCTGGTCTCAAACTCTTGAACTCAAGCAATTCACCTGCCTCGGCCTTCCAAAGTGCTGGGATTATAGACGTGAGCTGTCGTGCATGGCCCTCTTTACATTTTTATAATAAACCAATAGTAGTAATTAAACTGGTTTCCTGAGTTCTGCAAACCATTCTAGCAAGTTATCCAGCCCAAGGAGGGGGTGGTAGGAACCCAGAATTTATAGCTGGTTGGACAGTAGTATGTGAGGCTTCAACTTGTGACTAGCGTCTGAGCTGGGGGTCATCTTGTAGGACTGAGCCCATAACCTGTGGGGTCTGATAGTAACTCCTGATAGTGAAAGTCAGGATGGAATTATTGGTGTCCAAGAGAGTTGGAGAATTGGTTGTTAGTGTGGAAAAAACCCACACATTTGATGTCAAAAGTGTGAATGGAGAAAGCTTACATTTAAAATGCTAAATATTATTTCAAGGCTATGATATTTTATTTCTTTTGTCAGAACTCTCTTGGAGTCAAGATTCTGCCACTGGCTGGGCACAATAGCTCACACCTGTAATGCCGGTACTTTGACAGGCCAAGGCAGGTAGATCACTTGAGGTCAAGAGTTCGAGACCAGTCTGGCCAACATGGTGAAACCCTGTCCTTATTAAAAATACAAAAATTAGCTGGGTGTGGTGGCACATGCCTGTAATCCCAGCTACTTGGGAGACTGGGGCAGGAGAATCACTTGAACCCGGGAGGCAGAGGTTGCAGTAAGCCAAGATCTGGCCACTGCACTCCAGCCTCGGTGACAGAGCAAGACCCTATCAAAAAAAAAAAAAAAAGATTCTACTACCTGGCCAGGCCTGTCTGTGCCAACATACATTCTTGTGGGTGGGAAGTAGAAAATTTCCTTTTAAAATTTTCCTTTCTTGCTAAAGAATAAATCATAAGTGTGCTCTTTGTTAAGCACTATCCTGTGTAGCTGTTAGACATGCCATGCTTACAGGCACGTAGTACATTCTATGTCCTTGTACTTTAACCAAGATATCTGTGCTGGATGTGCTGTCCCAGCTCTCCACTGCTTTAAAAGTGTTATTAGCCAATTGGGTTTTAGTTTAGATTGTGAGGTCTGGCTTCAGCCAATGACGATCAGACGCAGCAGTAAGGATGACCCCCAAATGCATAATAAATAAATATGTCAGGCCAGGTGTGGTGGCTCACGCCTGTAATCCCAGCACTTTGGGAGGCCAAGGCGGGCGGATTATGAGGTCAGGAGTTCAAGACCAGCCTGGCCAACATAGTGAAACCCCATCTCTACTAAAAAAATACAAAAAAAAAAAAAAAAAAAATTAGCTGGGCATGGTGGCACACACCTGTAGTCCCAGCTACTTGGGAGGCTGAGGCAGGAGAATCACTTGAACCTGGGAGGCGGAGGTTGCAGTGAGCCGAGATTGCACCATTGCACTCCAGTCTGGGCAAAAAGAGCAAAACTCCGTCTCAAAAAAAAAAAAAAAAAAGAAAGAAATATGTCTGTTTTCCTTTGTTCATTGTACTCTTGTGGCAAGATGGCTAGCGAAAGTACCCTTCCTGCAGTCCAGGAAGTAAAAATTGCATTGCTGAAAAATCATTTGTCTTAGTGCTAATTTTTCTTTGCAGCACCGAGCATCTATTTCCCACATTGTGCCTGCCTGGACGTCCCCTGGTCTCACACAGTCATGACTCCTGCCCACAGGCCTGAAACTCACACAATCCACCTCCTTGTTCATAACCATTGCCCAAATGCCCATTCCTCCTCTGCATACATTTTTCAGATGCAGTCATGCACTGCATAGCAATGTTTCAGTCAACCACAAATCACTTATGTGACAGTGGCCCCCTTTCTATGTTTAAATACAAAAAAAACCATTGTGTTGCAGTTGCCTCCAGTATTCAGTACAGTAACAAGCCTTGCAGGTTTGTAGGCTAGAAGCAATAGGTTACACCATGTAGCCTAGGTGTGGAGTAGTGGATGCTACTAGGTTTGTGCAAATACACTGATGTTCACACAGTGAAATTGCCTAATGACACGCATTTATCAGAACCTATCTTTGTCACTAAGCAACATATGATGGTGCTTCCTGCTGCATGCCTGGCTGATCTCTCCCACTTTCCTTCCCTTGGCTTTGCCCCTTGACACAGGGGCATCTTCAATGAGCGTGTGTGGGCCACAGGTCCTGGAATCCTTGCTGATCTTGATAATTTTTATCTGATGACTTTTCTGATCCAATGACCAGGTTCGCAAGCCCTGCCCTCAATATCCAGGTGTCTGTCATGGAACGTTAATGAGGTAGCAGTTGGAAATGTGGGCTTAGCCCAGCATGGTGGCTCAGACCTGTAATCTCAACATTTTGGGAGGCTGAGATGGGACGATTACCTGAGCCCAGTAGCTTAAGCCTGAGCTTAAAGGTGAGGTGGGAGGATTAGCTTGAGCCCAGCCTGGCCAACATGGCAAAACCCTGTCTCTACAAAAATACAAAAATTAGCCAGGTGTGGTGGGGTGCATCTGTCATCCCAGTTACTCAGGAGGCTGAGGTGGGAGAATTGCTTGAACCTGGAAGGTCAAGGCTGCAGTGAGCTGTGATCTCATCACTGAACCCCAGCCTGGGCAAGACAATGAGCCCCTGTCTCAAAAAAAGAAGAAGAAAAGAAGTGTGGGCTCTGGTGTCGCTCAGACCAGAGTCCCTTTCCTGTTTCCATCAGGTGTTAGCTGAGTGACCTTGTGCATCAGTTTCTTTTTGTATGAAAAGAGGGAAATAAGAGTACCCGCTCCAAAGAGGTATTGTGGGACTACATGAGAACAGGTACACAAAGCACTTAATAACAGTACCTGGAGGCCAGGCTCAGTGGCTCACTCCTATAATCCCAGCACTTTGGGAGGCTGAGGTGGGCAGATTACTTGAGTTCGGGAGTTCAAGACCAGCCTGACCAACATGGAGAAACCCTGTCTCTACTAAAATACAAAAATTAGCTGGGTGTGATAGTGCATGCCTGTAATCCCAGCTTCTCAGGAGGCTGAGGCAGGAGAATCGCTTGAACCTGGGAGGTTGTGGTTAGCAGAGATTGTGCCATTGCACTCCAGCTTGGGCGACAAGAGCAAAACTCCATCTCAAAATAATAATAATAATAGTACCTGGAGCATGCTATAAGCTCAACACATATCAGATATTATTGTCATTTTAAATTAATTAATTTATTTACTTATCTATTGAAACAGAGCCTCACTCTCTTGCTCAGGCTAGAGTGCAGTGGTACAATCAAGGGTCACTGCAGCCTCGACCTCCCAGGCTCAAGCTGTCCTCCCACCTCAGCCTCCTGAGTAGCTGCACTTACAGACATGCTAATTTTAATGACAGCCAAGTCTGGCTAATTTCTGTATTGTTTGTAGAGACAGGGTTTTCCCATGTTGCCCAGGCCGGTCTTGAACTCCTGGGCTTAAGCAATCCTTCTGCCTTTGCATCCCAGAGTATTGGGATTATAGGTATGAGCCGCTGCATCCAGCCCTATTGGTGTCATTGTTATAGTTGTGATAGAGGAACTGTTGACAGGTGGTACGTCAGCCACCTCTGTGTCCTGCGGCATACCCCCAGGCCTTCCCTCTGACCCAGCTGCATCTGAGGTCTACTCACTGTGCACTGATAAATGCTTGCTTCAATTGCATGTTCACTTTCTGTCCTGGTGTGTTTACAGAGCCTGGGGTGAGACACTGATGGAGGCCTGCTTGGAATACCCACATGCTGGTCTAGAAGTGGGTGAGGTGTCACTTCCTGGGGTGACCCTCAACCGATGAGGGCTGGACATCAGTGGATACATGCCTCTCACTGTCGATCCTCAAGCAGGCAATACTGAGAAGAGGCTCTTGGGCTCTTCAGAAGATTCCAGTGGGCTCACAGCAAGCTGCCCACCACAGTGCCCACCTCAGCAAAACACCCTGCTACTGGCTTTTCCTGTGGTGCATTGGGCCTGCTTCCTACATAAATGATTTTCGCAGAAGGCCTTATTTCAGGCTCTGCTTTCAGGTCTAATCCAGGATAAGACAAGGGACCAGAAGGCCCTAGAGAGCAGCCTCAGAGAACAAAACCACCCCCTCTGGAAGGTGGCAACAAGGACTCCCTGGCTGGTGATAAGTAGGCGGTGAGAACCCTTAGCACGACACAGCTCTGCAATTCCTAAGACCTCTCGCCATGGGGAAGGAGGTTTAGGAAGAAGTGGGGCACTAGCAGACGCCAGCATTCCGGCACTTGAAAGGTTTGAGGCAATGCTGATGTGGACTGCGGAGTCAGCTGGCTTCTCTTAACTGTGTTAGAAGGTTTGTGAGGAGAAAATGAGAGGCTACCAGGTGCAGGGCAAGCTGTGAAACCTGAGGGCAGGGTTTAAGCCACCCTCGTTCCTCACAGGCAGCTGGAAGGCTGTGCTGAAAGCCAGTTCTAGGATCTGAGTTCACGTCCTTTGTAGGGACATGAATGAATCTGGAAACCACCACCATTCTCAACAAACTGACACAAGAACAAAAGACCAAACACCGCCATGTTCTCACTCATAGGCAGTGTTGAACAATGAGAACCCATGGGCACAGGAAGGGGAACGTCACACACTGGGGTCTGTTAGGGGGTGGGGGACTAGGGGAGGGACAGCGAGGGGTGGGGAGGTTAGGAAGGGATAACACTGGGAGAAATGCCTGATGTGGTGACGGGGGGGATGGAGGCAGCAAACCACCATGGCATGTGTGTACATATGCAACAATCCTGCAAGATCTGCATGTGTACCCAGAACTTAAAGTACAATTTAAAAAAGGGTGGCGCAACCATGGAGGAGATGGAATGAGTACATCTAGCAGTTCCGCTCTGCTGACTTCTGACACTGAAAGGGACGGGGTGGGCCTTGGGATGTGGACATTTGAGAATATGAAACTCAGCTGGGTGCAGTGGCTCATGCCTGTAATCCCAGCACTTTGGGAGGCTGAGGCCAGTGGATCACGGGGTAAGGAGTTCAAAACAGCCTGACCAACATAGTGAAACCCTGTGTCTACTAAAAATACAAAAATTAGCTGGGTGCAGTGGCAGACGCCTGTAATCCCAGCTCCTCAGGAGGCTGAGGCAGAAGAATTGCTTGAAACTGGGAGGTGGAGGTTGCAGTGAGCCAAGATAGCACCATTGCACTCCAGGCCTGGGCAACAAGAGCAAAACTCTGTCTCAAAAAAGGAAAAAAAGGAGAGAGAGAGAATATGAAACTTGCAATGCTTGCAAGCCCTCTTGCTGAAGGACATGTACCTTTTTAACCAATTTTAGGTGTGTAATTCAATGGCATTAAAAGCATTCATATTGCCGGCACGATGGCTCATGTCTGTAATTCCAGCACTTTGGGAGGTCCAGGCAGTGGATCGCTTGAGGTCAGAAGTTTGAGATCAGCCTGGCCAACATGGTGAGACGCTGTATCTACTAAAAATACAAAAATTAGCTGGGCATGGTGGCAGGTGCCTTTAATCCCAGCTACTTGGGGGGCTGAGGCACAAGAATAACTTGAACCCGGGAGGCAAAGGCTGCAGCGAGCCGTGCCAGTGCACTCCAGCCTGGGCCACAGAGTGAGCCTCCACCTCAACCAAAAAAAAAAAAAAGAGAGAGAGAGAGACAAGAGAGAACAGAAAAAGCCATGTGGAGACAGAGGCAGGAGGTGAAGTGAAGCAGCCACAAACAATGCCTGGAGCCGCAGAAGCTGGGAGAGGCAAGGAAGGTCCTCCCCAGAGCTTCTGGAGGGAGCATGGCTCTATAGACACCTTCGTTTTGGACTTCTGGCCTCCAGAACTGTGAGACGGTTGCTCTAAGCCACCAATGTGTGATCATTTGTGGCAGCAGCCCTAGAGGACTAAAACATTCTCCCTCCCCACAACTCAACTCTGAGGGGGTTCTCTCCCTGGAACATGACCAGGAAAGGCAGCACGTGAAGGCACACCTTTGGCGTTAGCTAAATCTGGAGGGGTAGCTAAATCATGAACATCAACGAACATCAATATCAATTTTTTTTTTTTTTTTTTTGGAGATGAAGTCTAGCTCTTGTCCCGTAGGCTGGAGTGCAGTGGCATGACCTTGGCTCACTGCAACCTCTGCCTCCCAGGCTCAAGTGATTCTCCTGCCTCAGCCTCCCGAGTAGCTGGGACTACACATGTGCACCATCGTGGCCAGCTAATTTTTGTATTTTAAGTAGAGACGGGGGTTTTGCCATGTTGGCCAGGATGGTCTTGAACTCCTGACCTCACATGATCCAACTGCCTCGGCCTCAAGTTTGCTTTTTTTTTTCATGGAAATCAACTTCATAAAAAGCATCTTACCCTGAGATGTAGTTTGTTTCTGTAAATTTCAGAAGTTGAGTTCAGCATAGACATATCCAGGTTTATAATAATCACAGGCTTCTGAAATATAAGAGAGAAAATAATTCACTTAGGATATGTGACTGAAGAGGCGGTTTTGAAAAATCCTACTTCTGGCCGGGCGCGGTGACTCAAGCCTGTAATCCCAGCACTTTGGGAGGCCGAGGTGGGTGGATCACAAGGTCAAGAGATCGAGACCATCCTGGTCAACATGGTGAAACCCCGTCTCTATTAAAAATACAAAAAATTAGCTGGGCATGGTGGTGCGTGCCTGTAATCCCAGCTACTCAGGAGGCTGAGGCAGGAGAATTGCCTGAACCCAGGAGGCGGAGGTTGCGGTGAGCTGAGATCGCGCCATTGCACTCCAGCCTGGGTAACATGAGTGAAACTCTGTCTCAAAAAAAAAAAAAAAATCCTACTTCTAGTAGCTGAGTGGACTGACAGAACCAAGTATTAACTAATTTTTTCCTGGACTGTGTTAAATAATTTATTCTTGAAAATGTTAGCTGGGCACAGTGCCTCATGCCTGTAATCCCAACACTTTGAGAGGCTGAGACAGGAAGATTGGTTGAGCCCAGGAGTTCAAGACCAGCTTGGGCAATACAGCAAAATACCTGCCTCTACAAAAAAAAAAAAAAAAAAAAAATAGACATGGTGGTGCACACCTGTAGTCCCAGCTACTTGGGAGGCTGAGGTGGGAAGATTGCTTGAGCCTAAGAGGTAGAGGGTGCAGTGAGCTAAGACTGGGCCGCTACACTCCAGCCTAAGCAGCAGAGTGAGACCATGCCTCAAAAAAAAAAAAAAAAGAAGGCAGGAAGGAACGAAGGAAAAGAAAGAAGAAAGGAAGGAAGAAAAGAAGGAAGGAAGGGAGGGAGGGAAGGACAGAGAGAGAGAAAGAAGAAAGAAAGAGAAAGAAAGAAAGAGAAAGAAAGAAAAGGAGGGAAGGAATGAAGGAGGGAGGGAGGGAGAGAAGGAAAGAGAGAGAAAGATAGAGAAAAGAAGGAGGGAAGGCAGGAAGGAGGGAAGGAAGGAAGGAAGGAAGGAGGGAGGGAGGGAAGGACATGTTTGAGTAGTGATCCTGCATCCTCCTCTCCGGATTTTTTCTATGACATTGCTCCACCACATCCTTCCCTCTTCCCCAGCCTCCATCCCCTGATGAGATTTTTTAGGAGCTGGGTGCTGGTTGCCATTGGTTCCTTGTGGTGTGCCTGTGTTGCTGCCATCCACCCCATTCTCAAGCTCCTGAAGCCCCTGAGTATGGTGACATCACAGGGGCTGTGATGTCTCATTTCACCTGTCTCATTTCACCAGCACCTCTTATCCCAAGCTGTGTCTCACCTTGCTGTCTTGGTGCCACCTCCCGGAACACAGCGGTGGCATACTGCAGCTCCTGGGAGTGTCCGGCCCCTGGGCAAAAGATAAGGAATAGGAGTTACTGGGCAATTATCTGAATCTCTCACCACATGAGGGCAGTGGGATAGACTCTGCAAAACGTGCTCACCATCTTGGGCTGTGGAAACACACAGCCTGGATCCCACTTCTGGCACAGATTCCTTCTCTGTAAAATGAGAATGACATAAATTGGGGGTTGGTTTGTGTTAGGCAAGGTGGGTAAATTGCTCAGCACTGCACCTGCGATGTGGCTGTGTTGACTGGGATAGTTCCATTGTCAGCCGACGACGGGATTTGGCTGTGTCCCCACCCAAATCACATCTTGAATTGTAGTCCCCATAATCTCCACATGTCATGGGAGGGACCGGATGGAGATAATTACATCATAGGGGTGTTTTCCATCATACTGTTCCAATGATAGAGAGTTAGTTCTCACAAGATCTAATGGTTTTATAAGGGATTTCCCCCTTCACTTGGCTCTCATTCTTCTCTCTCCTGCCGCCTTGCGAAGAAGGATGTGTTTGCTTCCCCTTCCACCATGACTGTAAGTTTCCTGCAGCCTCCCTAGCCCTGCGGAACAGTGAGTCAAACCTCTTTCCTTTATAAATCACCCCATCTCAGGTATGTCTTTATAGTAGCATGAGAATGTACTAATACATCAGCCAAAGCCCTGGGTCTTGTTTACTGTGAAGGAATGTGCGATGCCTGCTTTGGGAGGCGACCACGAAAGACTGTGGGACACAGTGCGGATCATTCTGAACAGATGTGAAAAATCTCCAAGATAAGTGAAAAAAAAATCAAGGCGTAGAAAGTCATACCTACGATATACTAATAATCGCTACCATTTGTTTATTTTATTATACACAGAGAATATCTGTAGAAGGATTAAAAAGACTGGTTATTACCCTTAGAAAGTGGGACTGAGCATCAATAGACATTGAGCTCTATCCTTTTTGCTCCACCCTGCTGCCGCCCCGTATGTCTATACAACCTTAACAAAATAAAAGGACAAAAACCTGAAACCACCCAAAACACACAACAAAGTTCTCTTACTCGCTTGTTTTTGATGGATATTTGCATAGATTCCAGCTTCCATGGGTGCAGCTCCGCAGTCCCTGGCCAAATTATTTCTCATAGCTTTTCCTGCATAAATTGGCACAGAATCATTAAATTAAACGAATTCAGCCACATTTTTCTTATCTCCTCGGCCAAGGAGCAGAATTCCCCCAAAGTTCTGAAACAAAGAGTGGCATGCTCCTATGGCTCAAACTGTTGTCTAATGAAAAAAGCTATAGATTCAACGGGGAGTCTAGACACGGCTTCTCCAAGCCAGGGGCTCTTCTGATTTCTTATCCTGGCTTTCAGAGGAATATGTTTTGCCTATCAGATTATGCCTGAACTAGCCAGACTTATTTTCTTTCCTTTGCTGAGAGAACAGTTTGTGGAAGCTTTGTAACATCTTCAAGAGAGCATAAATGGCCTACTGAATTTATGCTCTCGGTTTTTTTTTTTTTTTTTTTTTTGAAGCGGAGTCTCGTTCTGTCACCCTGGCTAGAGTGCAGTGGTGCCATCGAAATCTTGGCTCATTGCAACCTCCGCCTCCCGGGTTCAAGTGATTCTCCTTCCTCAGCCTCCCAAGTAGCTGAGATTATAGGTGTGCGCCACCATGCCTGGCTAATTTTTTTTTTTTTTTTTTTTTTTTTTTGAGACGGAGTTTCGCTCTCGTTACCCAGGCTGGAGTGCAATGGCGCGATCTCGGCTCACCGCAACCTCCACCTCCTGGGTTCAGGCAATTCTCCTGCCTCAGCCTCCTGAGTAGTTAGGATTACAGGCACGTGCCACCATGCCCAGCTAATTTTTTGTATTTTTAGTAGAGACGGGGTTTCACCATGTTGACCAGGATGGTCTCGATCTCTTGACCTAGTGATCCTCCCGCCTCAGCCTCCTGAGTAGCTGGGATTACAGGCGCCTACTATCACACCTGGTTAATCTTTTGTATTTTTAGCAGAGATAGGGTTTCACCATGTTGGCCAGGCTGGTTTTGAACTCCTGACCTCAGGTGATCAGCCTGCCTCAGCCTCCCAACGTGCTGGGATTACAGGTGTGAGCCACTGTGCCTGGCCAGCCTCACTGAATTCTTTTTTTTTTTTTTTTTTTTTGAGACAGAGCCTAGCTGCAACCTCTCCCTCCCAGGTTCAAGTGATTCTCCTGCCTCAGCCTCCTGAGTAGCAGGGACAAAGGTAGGTACCACCACGCCCAGCTAATTTTTGTATTTTCAGTATAGGTGGAGTTTTACCATGTTAGCCTGGCTGGTCTCAAACTCCTGCCCTCATGATCCACCCACGTTGGCCTCCCAAAGTGCTGGAATTGCAGACATGAGCCACCATGCCTGGCCTGCTGAATTATATTGTAGCTTTAGCCAGTAATCAAGAATATTAATGCCACTTTTGCAAGAACCTGGGCTTTTTATAGGAAGGGGAAACATGCTTTTAAGACAGGAGACGTGGGCCATGGTGCAGTGGCTCATGCCTGTAATTCCAGTGCTTTGGGAAGCTGAGGTGGAAGGATTACTTGAGGCCAGAAATTCAAGGCCAGCCTGGGGAATATAGTGAGACTTTGTCTCTAAAAAAAAAAAAATTGTAATTAAAAAAAATAAAATACTGTGATCCCAGCACTTTGGGAGGCTGAGGTAGGAGGACTGCCTGAGCCCAGGAGTTCAAGACCAGCCTAGGCAACACAGCGAGACCCCTTCTCTAAAAAACATTTTTTAAAAAGGCCGTAACTGAGGCTTCTAATGACATTGACATGTTTTCTGCTGGATGTAGACTTAAGGTGGTGAAGGGAGAAACGATGCTTTTTTGTTTCTGTTTTTGTTTTTTTTGAGTCTGGTGTGTTTAATAAAGTTTTTAAAAAATCGTATAGCAGAATAGATTATACTTTTATGTTGAAAATCTAGAAAGCATAGAAATGTAGAAAGAATATATATATATATGTATATATATTATATATGTAAATATATATATTCTTACATGTGTGTGTATATATATATTCTATTCTTATGTGTATATATATATATATTAGGTTGGTGCAAAAGTAATTGTGGGCCAGGCACAGTGGCTCAGGCCTGTAATCCCAGCACTTTGGGAGGCTGAAGTGGGCAGATCATCTGAGATCAGGAGTTCAAGACCAGCCTGACCAACATAATGAAACCCTGTCCTTACTAAAAATACATGGTGGTGGGAGCCTGTAATCTCAGCTACTCAGGAGTCTGAGGCAGGAGAATCGCTTGAACCGGCGACACAGAGGCTGCCATAAGCCGAGATTGCACCACTACACTCCAGACTGGGCGACAAAGGAAGACTCCATTTCAAAAAAAAAAAACAAAAAAAATGTAATTGCAGGTTTTGCCATAAAGTCATGGCAAAAACTGCCATTACTTATGCACCAACCTAATATTTTTAATACTTCCAGCCTCAAACAATTGTAAATCTTTTGAAGGCGTCTTTTGTGCTAATGGGATGACGCTTGTTTGTACTCGTGCACTGAGCTTCCCCTATGTGGCAGATCCAGCGAGGACGCTGAGTCATGCAAGGCAAAGCTCTGGTTTGAGGCACTTGCAGTCAGGAGCAGCCGTGCCACGTGCAGCGCCCAGTGCGAAACAAACACTTGTTCACGTGGCTTACTTCAACTTGCGTTTAATTAAGAACACAAGTTCTTGGCCTGGTGCAGCGGCTCACACCTGTAATCCCAACACTTTGGGAGGCCGAGGCAGGTGGATCACCTGAGGTCGGGAGTTCAAGACCAGTCTGACCAACATGGAGAAACCCCGTCTCTTTTCTTTTTTCTTTTTGGCAGAGTTTCGCTCTTGTTGCCCAGGCTGGAATGCAATGGTGCAACCTTGGCTTACTGCAACCTCCACCTCCCAGGTTCAAGCGATTCTCTTGCCTCAGCCTCCAATGTAGCTGGGATTATAGACATGCACCACCATGACTGGCTAATTTTTTGTATTTTTAATAGAGATGGAGTTTCTCCACGTTGGTCAGGCTCGTCTCGAACTCCTGACCTTGGTGATCTACCTTTGGCCTCAGCCTCCCAAAGTGCTGGATTACAGGTGTGAGCCACCGCGCCCGGCTACCATCTCTACTAAAAATACAAAAACTAGCCAGGTATGGTGGTGCATGCTTGTAGTCCCAGCTATTCAGGAGGTGGAGGCAGGAGAATCACTTGAGCCCAGGAGGCAGAGGTTGCGGTGAGCCAAGATCACTCCACTGCACTCCAGCCTGGGCAACAACAGCAAAACTCCGCATCAAAACAACAAACAAACAAACAAAAAAACACACAAATTATTGGCCAGGAATGGTGACTCACACCTGTAATCCCCATACTTTGGGAGGCCAAAGCGGGAGAGGATCCTTTGAGCCCAAGAGTTCAAGACCAGTCTGGGCAACATAGTGAGATCCTCTCTCTAATATAGAATAAGAAAAGACGAGCAAGAGAAAAAAAAAAAAGAAACAGTTCTTTTTTTTTTTTTTTTT